AATCTGTAGGATTCAGTGGGTCTACCTTGACATTGCTTTTGACAGGTGGGCCCCACATCTCCAAATCTGATACCTTTTTAATACATTCCAGGGATTTGTAGTTTGCCCCTAGTTGAGACATGTCTAGAAAGGAACTGCGAGGTCCTTTCTAACCAAGATATATTAATTTATTTAGCAGGATGATCTTATTAAATAAAAACTACTTAACGGTTCTGCCTAAGCAAACATCCTGATTATCTTTCAAAATTAAAAAGTGCATGAGCCCTGTGACCTAGCAATTCCACTTCCTGGTAACTTGTCCAACAAATATGCCCAGGCTCATGCAAAATGATGTATATTTTAAAACATTCATTGTTACTTTGGTTTATAACAGTAAAAGACTCTTTTTAACTGATTAAATAAATTTGGCACATCAATACAGTAGACTGGAATAATGTGTCTCCAAGATACAATGTAAGTGAAAAAAGCAAGACAGTGTTATGGTATGTTTCCATTTCCATGAGGAAGTGGTGCAGAGAGACTATCTGTGAGTATACGCGTAACTGTATGAGTACATAGAATGTCCCTAGATGAATACACAAGACAATAATAGTTGCCTCTTGGGAGAGGAACGGGGTGGTACAGGAAAGGGGGAGAAACTTGTCTTTCAGTATGTGCCATTTGGTACATTGTAAATTTTCTGCCATGTGCATGGATTACTTATTTAAAATAAAAGTAACAATTTTTTTAAAACTAGGATTTTCTTTAAATTAATAAGATTGAGAATTAAGAGCACAACCTTGCTTGGATACTGACTGAATGAAGGGCCCCTGTCATTAACTCATAGAGTTAGGGTGATCCATTCCTTATATTCACCTGGTTTATTCCAGCCCTCCTGAGAAAAGGTTGAAGCATTGATGCAAAGGATCATACCTCTCCTGACATGGAACTCCCAGACCACTCTAAAATTTCCTCAGTTTGGTCTTTCAAGCCTGGAGCTGGGGGAGAAAGAGGACAACTTCAGGAGGAGGCAGGGTATATTAAGTAAATTAAGCATAGCTATAGATATAAAGATATATAGATCTATATATTTTCGTAAAACACTGGCCCATAATAAATGTCCCCTAAATTTTATACAATATTTATTTGTTTCCAGAAAGTTAAATTGTTAAGATCCTTGCAAGTAGAGCATTCTTTTGAGTAGGTAACACATCTTCCTATAATTCTGAAAGTAATTTGAGCCCAAATGAGTAAGGATCTCTTATTCAGCCACCACTATTCGTTAAGTACTATAAACCCAGCACTGCAAAATCTGGGGGAATGTTTTCTAAGGTTGTTTTATTTTTATGCTTGGATCCTTGTAATTAACCTTCACTTGTCAAGTAAGGCTAAATCTAGGCCAATCCCTCATGCAAAGGATCACACATTTGATCTTTAGGCAGCTTTTAGACATGAAGCCTTCTGAGGGGGGAAAAAAAAAGAAAAAAAGAAAAAAAAAAGAAACCCAGTGATAATAAAAGACAACCCATCCAATTATGTTTTTGTCTCAGCACCTCTGGTGCTATAACCACCCAAAATCTCCCTCAAAACAACGCCAGTCTTAAGTGGCCTGAGCAACTCATGAAACTTTCGGAGAAACAAAGAAAAATAAGTTTGTTATACTCATGTTTCTAACTGGGTCCTCTTTCCTTTGGAAAACACATAAGCAAATAGTATTAGACTATCATCAAAGCCTCTGGCAGAGTAACTGCCAAGCAGGCTCTCCTGCCTCTTCAGTCAAGGATGCCATCTGCCCCACTTCACCACCTACCCCCAAATTCCTTCAGTCAAAACTCTCAGAATCATCATGATACAGGTATAATTTCCCCTCTAAAAGGGCATTTTTCACTCCTTAAAGGGAAATGCAAAATACAATTAATTACATTCAATTAAAATAACAACAAAATTTGAAAACTAATTGGGGAAGTATATGCAACATATATATGACAAACGGTCATTAGTCTTAATAAATACAAGGTCTGACAATTAAGTTCATGAACTTTTTATAACAATGTTGCTAACCTTTTCTTGATGTCAGAGGGATTATTCATTATGAATTTCTACCAACTTAACAAAGAGTTAACGAAGTTCACTATTTGGAAGTGCTGAAAAGACTGCATGAAAAAGTTAGACGTCCTGAACTTTTTGCCAACAGCTCATGGCTCTTGCATCACGGCAATGTACCAGCTATCACGGCATTGTCTGTGAGGAAGTATTTAGCCAGTACACAAATAACTGTATTGGAACACCCTCCCTACTCACTTGATCTGGCCCCCAATGACTTCTTTCTTTACCAAAAGACAAAGGAAATACTGAATGGAAGACATTTTAATGACATTCAGAACATCAAGGGTAATACGACGACAGCTGTGATGGCCATTCCAGAAAAAGAGTTCCAAAATTGCTTTGAAGGGTGGACTAGGCGCTGGCATTGGTGCATAGCTTCCCAAGGGGAGTCCTTTGAAGGTGACTGTAGTGATATTCAGCAATGAGGTATGTAGCACTTTTTCTAGGATGAGTTCACAAACATTATTGTCCCACCTCGTAAATATCCCAGTTTTTCTCAACGAGCAAAGAACACAAACTGGCCACTAAATATATTTAAAAGTGTCAAACTTCATTAGTAAAAAATGCAAATTAAAATTGGCTTTATTTCACTTATTAAGTTACCAAAAATAAACATTAATATTATTATTTAATGTCTGTTACCATGTGTGGAAAAAAACACTCACCATCTGCAATGGACTTGTAATTCTATACCTTTCTAAAGCATAATTGGCAAACTGTATGCAAATCTTTGCAAAGCACAAATTCCTTCAACCAATTAGTTTTATTTACTGGAATGTAAGTATTACTTACACAGAAATATGTAAAGATATGTGCAAAGTCAGCTATAAGGTGGTCATTGCAGTATCATTTGTAATCACAAAAAAAGCCTGAAAAAATCCTAACTATCCATCCTTAGAGAACTGGCTGAGTAAATTGTGATGCATCCATAGAATAAAATGTTTATTAATAATAAAGGTAATATACATGAGAAAAATGGTAATTACATGCCTTTGAACAGGGAAAAAAACGCAGTTTACAGGAGGATGGTCCATATGAATGCAAAATGTTCCTAGAAATGTGTTAATTTAAAATTAGAAATGTGTTAATGTAAAACCAAAATGTTAATGTGATTCTCCTTGGGCTGTGGGATTTCATATTTTTTAAAAATTTTCTTTATTGCATTTTTCTGAATTGTTTGATTTTTTTACTGTAAATGTGTCAATTTTACAAAAACAGAAAAAAAACTTTAAAAAAATACAAGGAATAACAAGCGAATCTCCTTTAAAAATCACCTACTATACATGTGAAAAGATTAATTTTTCTTGGGGCCTTTTACGACCCATTAAAATGAACTGTACAGTTTTACTGTTTGAAATTCTCTGAATAAGTCTGTGGGTATTCTCTTCCAAAGACTTGGTCTGGAAAGATTAATCTGTCGTTTGGGTTTCAGAAACGAAGTCTATGAAGTGGTCTTAAAAACAAAAGTGGGCATCACTGTTCATGCAAATGACTGGTGCTTTAAAAGTCCTGAGGTTCAGCAGTAGAGCTACGGCTTTCTCTGCCTTTGCACTTTATTTTAAATCAGGGGACAAGGCAATGGAGAGGGAGCCTTGTAACGGAAGCATCCACTTGTCCTACACATTTGGAAGGAAGGCCAATAGAGCTTCTAAGTTTGGAGTCTGAGCGAGCCTTTGAGATGACAGCAGGGCTTTGATTTTGTGATTACAATTAAAGATCAAGGTGAGCACCCGGTGCCTGAAGACTTTCCCTGAGGGAAATGAATAAACACTTGGCTCTAATACCTACATCCAGCCAGAATACAAATAGAGCATATTATCAGCCGTCAGAGCATGTTGTTCCTGAGTAGCAGTGGACTGAGGAGCAGACTTTAAATCAAAGTGAAGGAGAGTGCCCCAGCGCCCCTCATCAACCATTCCTCAGCTGGGCTCACCATGGAGCTGAGAGAGGGGGGACCCCCCTTTAGGCAGCCAGATCAGCAGAACGAGCCCTGGGATTCAACAAGGTGTCAGGTGTATTCATTGTACACAGATTCTCATTTGCCTCTTCTGCTGTCTGACAGATTGCTTCTTTGCAGATCTCCAGAAGGAGACAAATTGCTGGGAAGGATGTGGGGAAAGAGGCACACTCATGCACTGCCGGTGGGAGTGCAGATTGGTACATGATTTGGGAAGGGAAACAATTTGGCAGTGTCTATCAAATTTTTAAATGGCACTGACTTTGTTTCTCGGAGCCTAGCTTCCAAAATCCTAGCACAGGGAGATACGTACAGGGAAGCAGAGTACAGGATCATTTATAATGGAAAAAGTTCCAAACAACTTCAATATTCATCACTACAGGATCATTTAAAGAAAGTACAAAGGGTGCCAAAAATATGTATATACATTTTAAGAATGGGAAAAAAACTGTATTAAAATTGTAATACTCAATATATACTGATAACAAAAGATGAATACAAGTCATGTGTATACATTTTTTTGGCACCCCTGGCATATCACACCCATACAATGGAATACCGTGTGGGCATTAAAAAAGAAATACTATGACAATGACTTGGAAAGATAGCTCTGTTAAATGATCCCCCTTAAAAAACAAACAAACAAACAAAAAAAAACCCAACCTTTATTTCCTTACATGAGCATAGATATATGTGTGTATAAATGTCTAGTTAGGGTTGAAAATAATTTGAAAGGTTATATACTAAGGAATCAATAAGGATTTTTCTAAAATAGGATGTGGTTAAGATTGAAATAAAAGAAGGGAAAACTGACTTCCTACTTTATACATTTCTGTATTGTTTAAATTTGAACTTTTTCCTTATTATGTTTACTATTATTCTTTCTAAAGGCCAAGCTTATACTTAGTAGTTCATGCTGAGGTTCTGTTCAACATGACATTAACTCTGTGTTCCCTTAGCTCCTACCAGCCCAGAAAACGTGAGCGCTAGGCAGAAGGCAAGATAGCATCTGAGGCAGGGCCTTCACCACAGTGAAGCAAGGTAAGCAGCTGCTTGTTGCTGACCACAGATATGAGATCAGAGTAGAATCACTGCAGGGTAGAATCCTGGGTTCCAGTTAAGTTATGCATCCTCTGCCTCTGAGCCTAATTGGCCCCCATGGTTGGGAAGGGGCTGAGTCCACAGTTGAGGGCCAAATGGACTTTGATACAGGGATGGGAGTACCTGGAGCAGAAGGCAGAGATGGCACTGCCTCAGGAAATCGGATCTCCATCCAAGCTCCAGCCCTCTCTGATGCCTTGAGCAAATTTCTCAGTGGAATCTGATTGATTCCTACAGTGTCTTCAACTTAGGGGAGGCAGCCTGCAGTAGAGGGGTGGTAGGCTACATGTAGTGTTAGAGGGTCCTGGAGCCAGTTGTCTCATCTAATCTCTGGATACCCTTGAGAAAAAAACACGGCAACTCTCCCAATGCTCTCACTATTGTTTTTCCCAGACTATAAAAATAACCCAAATATGATATTGCAGCTATTGGAACAATACATGTCATAAAGATGTTCTCAAAGTCTCTTGCAAGTGTAAAATTCAAAAATTATAGTTCATGTAAACAAAGGCTGATACACCATAAGCCAAAAACTGTCTCCAAGCAGGGAATTATGGGTGACCTTCGATCACGCAGGGAGAGGCTGTATCACGGGCACATGGACATGGTTTGAAGTCAGAGGATGATTCTGGCGGGCAGCACTGTACACTCCCATTGACCATTTCTGAAGGCAGTCCTCCTCTGTCTTCTTGAGAAAACAGAGCATCCTGTCTGCTTCTTTGGTATGGCCCCCTGGAGCTGTCAGGGACACCACTCCCTCTCTCTGCCAAGTGCTAACAG